CTCGGCTTTTTCTCTTTAAATTGCTTTATCTATTTTTTTAAAATTCTTTCTTTTTCCAAATTCAAGTTAAGATTCCATAGAAGGTATTTGCCTTTTGTTTCAAATTTTTTTAAGATTCCAAGCTATAGAAACCGAGACTACAAGTTAGTCAAAAATCAAGTGAAAAATGATGAAACTAGTGCACTAGTTTTTAGGTTTTGTGTTGGATTCTTCTTGTACACTTTTCTTTTGAAATTTTGAACATTAAGCTCTGTATTTTCCTCTGTTTTCAGCCTCTTTACTCTTTTTTTAAAAAAAAAAATTTGAATCCACAAGAATTAGTGCACTAGAAGTAGGATTAAACACTGAGGAGGTTCTTCCTTACATATCTGAGCATCAAGCCCTTTTGAAGAAAACTAACCCTAGAATGAACGAAAAATCATTGGTCAACGAGCATAAAAAGACATTATTAAAATGGTTAAAAGAAAAAGTCTTTAGTGATGATGGTGTTTCTAACACATTAAAATGGCTTGCAAATGAACCTAAATATAATGTTTTTACTTATACTGGATATGATATCAATAACTATTCCTTTTACACAAAGTCGCAAGATGACAATAGTACCATGCAAAATAGTTGGGTTACTCTTCAGGCTCAATCCATGCATTTTTCTAGTACAAATGATAAAAATCTCGTTGTGGCATCTACAAGTTACTATAGAGTCATTGAAGACATTTGGAAGATCAGTTATGATGCCTTTAAAGCAGACATTTGGAAGATCAGTTATGATGCCTTTAAAGCTCTTGTTTTTAAGTGCAAATGGGTTGATATTAACATTGGTGTGCGAACCAATGAAATGGGATTTACAATGGTAGACCTTAGCAAGTTGGGTCATAAGGATGAACCTCTCATCATGGCAAACCAAGCAACACAAGTATTTTATGTCAAACATCCTATTGATGAAAGGTGGTCTGTGGTTCTACAAGGTAGAAGTGTACACAATGTTGATGATTCAATAGTTGAATTTTGGGAGAGTCTTTCTTTCTCAACACGTATGCCTACTAACAACGAAGAAATTGAGCAAGACAACTTTCATGCCACTCGTAATGACCATGATGAAGGCATATGGGAAAACATTATTACCGCATTAAGTTATGTTTATCTTGATGTATTATTTAATTTTCTATTCATTCATTTTTTCATATTTTTAATTTATTTTATTACTTATTTTCCAATTGACCTTGGTTATTTTTTTATCAAAACAGACACATGGATACTCAACCGAGCTCTACTCCTCAAAGATCCCCTACTCCTCAAGGCTCCCCTACTCCTCAAGGCTCCCATGCTCCTCAAGGCTCCCATGCTCCTACAGTCCCTACTTCACAAGCTACATCTAAGGAAAAAAGGAAGTCGAAACGAATGAAACGTTTAGCCCATAAGCGGTGAAATGGCCTAAAATATCACTTGATGTGGATCCCACTACTGGGATAGTTTCAGGGCCAAACAAAGCTCAATTTTCAAGTTATTTGGGAACCCTTGCTAGAGATAAGATTAGTATTTTAGTCCCTTCTTGGAAAGAAGTCCCACAAACTACTAAAAACATGATTTGGCAGGATATTTTGGTATTTCCACTATATTTACATAATTTGAAAAAATGATAATCATTTTTAATGTTATTATTATTAACTCTTAAATCTGAAACTATTTTGTAGGGAGTGTATGACATTAGTGATACTAATATATTGAAGAGTAAAATGCTTTCATCTATTGCTACAAAATTTAGGCAACATACGTCTTGTCTTACAAGGGAGTGGGTATAGGAAATACAAGGGTAAAAGCCCTTGTGATGAGTATAATATTGACCCTGAAGAATGGGAAAAATTTAAAGAAATTCGAAATGACCCTTCTTGGAAGGTAAGTAGTGTTTATTCTTTTTAAAATTTAATTATATTTTTGTTTATTTTTCACTTTTACTTATGGGGTTGTTAAATTATTGCAGCTTGTAAGAAAAAAAGCACAAGATATCTAGAAACTTAATAATGCTCCCCACCTATTATCTCGTGGGGGTTATGAGTCGCTTGTGAGAAATTTTATGAAAAGTGAAATTAAGAGCCTTAAGGAGGAAGCAATACATTATGGTGCTAGTGAGGATGTAGTGATTGATCCTCCACGTCCTCCTCCACGCCATAGGTTCTGGAAGATGGCTCGCACAAAAAGTTCGGGTGAGATGATTTATGAGTCTACTAACCAAGTTGCAAAAAAAATTGTAAGTATTTTTTTTATAAAAGAATCTGATGGAAACTTGCTTGGAGAATCCGGATTGATGAGAATCCTCTTCAAGTTTCTCCCTTAGATCTTCGGCTCCTTGATCCTTCCTAAGCTTGGCTAAGGTCTCCAATGGAGGTGGAGACCTTAGAACCACCACGGCTTAGTGGAGAACTCTCCCAAGAGGCGCCACTCCTTGATGAAGAGATAAGCCTCTTCAATTCTCACCACACTCTTCTATGAAGGGATAAGAGAATTGGATGAATATAAAAGAGGTTTAGGGACTTTTAGAAGAGAGTAATCTGAACAATATTTTCAGAAATCAAATCTCAATACATCCAAAAGTGTCTTACAATGAAAGGATTACAAGTATATAGGAGTAGGAAGCTTAGAGAGCAAGCTAGCCTTAACCATGGTTCACTAGGAACCATGGTAGGGTCTAGTTAATCCGTCCAAGGTCAAGAGGCTTGGAGAGCAAGCTTCTCACTTAGCTTGCTTGGTAAGCTTGCTAAGGAGAAGCCTGTGCTTCAAGCTTCCAAGCTTAAGAAGAACCAAGCTATTTGCCCAAGTGTGAACACAAGTGCGAACACAAGTGTGAACACATTTAGGTGGGCGACTCTTTGGATTTATTTTACTCCATCCGGTTTTGAAATTGTTAATTTGGTTTAGTTAGGTTCATCCAATGTGAATGGAACCTAGCTAAATCAAATCTATGAAAAGTTAGGAGTAAAATGAGTCCAATATGAAAATTTTAGCCTAAGACCACCTTTTGGCTAAATTACTAGTACCACTCTCTAGCTTGCTAGTGACACTCTCTAGCTTGCTAATGCCACTCCCAATCCTACTACTAGAAAACTAAGAAAAGAGTGTATTTCTAGGTTAGGTTAAATGGGGTCAAAGTGTCCAAGTAACCTACCCTAGAAACATTATACAATAGCTACTAAAAAGGAAATAAAGTGCCTCTCAAATACAAAGGCAAAAATACACCTATACAAGTATCTACTATATACAAAGTACAAGAAATCAACTATACAAGTATGTACAATGGAAACTCAAGAGACTAATAAGAGGAATCATAATCAATGCTCATGAAGAGCAAAGGTCTAAGAAGCACCTCCTCT